GAATTTTTCAGATTGGAGTGTGGGTAAGTACTTTCATGAGGTGTTGAAATAGTGTATTTAAGCATGTGTTCCTATGGCAAGATCTAATAGTACTGTCTGCCCTGCATGCTATCTTTGTTACGAGAGCCATCATAGAGCCGAAAGCCCCTGCGGTCTGTCAACTGTCCTGCAAGCGTGTGGACAGCGTCTCGCACCTGTTGTGCCGCCATGCGGAGAGACGTGGAATTGCAATAACAGGTGATGGGCGCCATGCTTACATACTCCAGTCGTGTCATGTTGGCCAAGGCCTTTGCCAGCGCAGAGACACTGAGCGCCAGTTCGTTTTCACCCAAGTAGAGTTTCCTTAACTGCTGCAGGTGAACCAGCCTGTTGGCCACGGCTCTTCCTCCCACGTTTGTTATTGAGTTCTTGGCAATGTTCAAAACTTGGAGCTCTTTCAAGTGAGGAAAGGTCTCTGCAATAGCTTCCACCCCTTCATCCCCTATCGTATTATACATAAGAACTAAGTCTTTTAGCGTATCCAGGACGTGTAGCTGTCCAGCCAGTACTGTCGCTGCGTCAGCAGAAAGCCTGGATTTAATAATATAGAGCTCTGCAATTCCTTTGAGATACGGGAAAAGTTTGACCAAGGCTTCAACGTCAGTGTCCAACAGTACTTGCCTTACCAGTAACAACTTCGCGTTGCCATTCTTTGAAAGTCCGTCTGTCTTGTTCCGCAGTGTCTCCAACGCGTTCAACATGGAAGAGAAGACCTCGCTGTATGCGGATAGACCATGTGACTCCATGTACTCACGTGTGATGCCGTATCCTATGCCGAAGCTTACAGCCTTGTCCAATGTGTGTGGGAGATCATCGTAAATTTTCCAGTACCGACACACAAAGGGCCAGAAGAACCTGTCTTCCAGTAGGACCATCACAACCTCGTTGCCCGGGTAACGTTCTTCCAAACCCGCGGCGGTGTCCCTGTTCTGCTGGAAGTACGCTCTGACGTAGAGGGTCCACTCTCCCCACCAATCTACAGGAAATACAAGTTAGAGGTTTATTGAGGAAAAGCTCTCCTTTATATTATATTATTATAATTAGCTGCCCACCCGAGGGTGGCAGCTATTCTTCCAGGAGAGGATACATAAGACATAACAATACATCACATACAATTACATATACATTTACATTACATAGTGTTTTAAAAGAAAACAAGTGTGTAACATCGTATGTGCTCTACTTATTTATGTCCTTCATGTGCTTTAGCAGGCCTTGTTTTAACTTCTCATGTGACGACACTGTTTGCAGCCCATGTGGTAGAGAGTTCCATGCTGCAGTAGTTCTGTATGTGAAGGCTTTTTTAGTGCTGTCTGTTTTTGGTTTGTCTAGTTTGAAGGTGTTCCGAGTAGCATATCTGTTTCTGTAAGTGCACAAGAGACACGAACTGTCTTTCATTAATTCCCAGAGCTCTGAAGCTATCTCTTAAGCCCCTTTCGTCTTGCCAGACGATCTAAATCTATACAATAACAGCTAATCTAATATTTAAACTGAAGTAGACTTCAACTCTATCAAGTTTGCTTTTGACTGTAATAACGATAATTTTTATTTAACTGCTTTAAACATGTCTGTGCACTCTTAACATGTTCTGAAGTTGATATAACGTTAATAATGATCTCAATGTAACTATATGAACAGATTTTATGTTGACATGCATAAACAAATGTAACAATGTAATAAATATGAATCTGAAATAATGAACAATAGCTTGTAGATCTGTATAAGTACAGCCGATATAACCACCCCTCGGCTAAACTACAATAACTATACAGAATCAGACGGTATTTGGATAGTTCTTTGAATGAATGAATGAATGAATGAATGAATGAATGAATGAATGAATGAATGAATGAATGAATGAATGAATGAATGAATGAATGAATGAATGAATGAATGAATGAATGAATGAATGAATGAATGAATTTTTATTTTGTATTGCACCGATTTTACGAGGCTCTCCAAAGATGGAGGAAATAAAGAGATGAAATGAATGAATGAATGAACAGAAAACTGCGGCTACAGATGCACGACAATTACCTGTTTCAACTGTCGTCCCAGAAGTATCTTGTGTCGTCACAGATAACTGTGTAGGCACTGTTGTGGAGGTCGTTGGAAGTAATGTGTGGTTCAGCTGTAATAAGAAATAAACCAGACGTACATAAGTAATACCTCTACCATAACCATAACCATAGTAAAGAAAATAACACCCCAGTTGCATTGTTTGATTACAAACCTCGTTATGAAATGCTCATAAGAATTGTGTGCAAAACCATTATGAAAGGAAAGTCGTAAGGAAATTATAAGGTCTAGGAAAATCAATCTGTGTTTTCTGTATCAGAAATAAGGGAAGGTTTATATTTCAGCCACAGCGATCCAACAAATGCAGTTCACACTGAAATGCGTGGACTTGAATTGAAACATTAGGTCTGGTTCTAATTTAGTCGAGTGTACCGCATCAATTTATCAAATTTTGTATCTCTAATCAGCGGTCGACAAAAGAATAGGTCATGGTCGGGTTTTTGTTTTGATAAGGCCAAACCAATTTAATTTGTTATTTCCCGGATTTTTCAGAAAAAAATATGAAGTGAAAGGGCGAAATAATTTTAAAAAAACAGGCGAAGGCACCCCATGATAGCTGGAAATGTTACGATATGAGCCATGAAGTCAACATACCAGGCTGTTTTATAATTAAAACTAGAGTTCGACAATCTCATACCTCCAGCTTATGCATAGTGATGATCACATAAATGGCTTACATTTACAATCCTGCTCATTAGCAAAATTTTTATACAAATTATTCACATAGCCCCTACCTAGTAACATACAACACACTGGTGAAATCCTTACCATTTAACATGGACAACGTATGATATTGTTGGTTATATGCAAGTATGACCTCTGACATACCTTTGCCAACTCATGTTTGCCATCCAAGCTGACGAATTATACATTTTTTATTGCCAATATGCAAATTATAAGAGCCCATTATCTATATTATATCATTTGATCATATTCTCCGCCCAATGACAGGGTTATCTTAAGAAATAAGGCTATTCTAGCGTTTCCTCATAAATTATGCAAATGAGGTCCTGATTTGAATAAATTATGTTTAGTGATGTTCGCCTTAATTGAACTTCCAAGTATGGCAAGTATTAAATTCACAGCAGT